AAAAATGTTAAAACGAGCTATATTTTTGATGACTCAAAGAAGAGAACTCATAAGATGAAAAGAGAGAATACGATAAATGAGAAAGCGAGGGCTTCAAAAAACTTATTTATTTATTTATTTATTGAAGGGTCAAGCCCATTTAAAATTAACAAAGTGTACAAGTGAAACAACCATATAAAAATAAAAGCAAAATACCAATCAAAATAGATAAAGCAGAAACAAAGAATGCAATAAGTGCCAAACCATGATACTTAATTAAATTAAATTAAATCAAATTACCTAAGTTAAATCAAACTAAATACAAAATCACAAAATAAAATAACAATTATAACTTGAGACCCATGACAGTTCTCGCAAATGGTTCATAGGGCCCAAAAAAGTCAATGTCTCCCAGCTGATTACACAGTCTGAGGGTACGAGGAACGAAAGAGTGATATGCATAGTTGGTTCTGTGAAATTGAAGATGAAAAGTTTGAGTTGTGCGGGTGGTACGTGATGGGACAAGTAGAGCTATTTTGGAAGTCAAGTAGGGGCAGTCAATTGTGGAATTTTATGTATCAGTTTGAGGTATTTCCGCTTCCTTCTTGAGCTAAGGGTTGATGAGTTCAGTGCGTCACAAAGTTGTGCATAATGAAATTCCTCATTGTTAAAAAATTTGTAATCGAGATATCTGAAAAATGTACGCTGACAAGCATACTTTGGACTCCAAGCAGATGCAGCAAACTCAAGATGTGTACAAACATATGAGAAGTATAATGTGTTGATATTTGCAAATTCCCTTTTACTTCGCTTCACAAATCCATGCATCCGGAGTGCTTCGCTAACTATCGCATCGATGCGTGAAGAGAAATCAAGATTTGAGCTCAGCAAAACACCCAGATCCCTGATCTGATTCACGCAGTCCAATGGCATAAAATTGATGTGATATGCAGTCATTAAAGGTTCTAGACCTGTGGAATTTCATAACTTTCGTAACATTAAGATCCATGCCATAAGTTTGACAGCACTGAATTAACCTGTCCAGATAATCTTGCAGTGCATGGCAGTCATCAGGAGTAACGATTTTCAAAAATAATTTCAAGTCATCGACAAAAAGAAGAAATGAAGAGTGTACGATACAAGAATAGATGTCATTGATGAACAGGTTGAAGAACAGTGGGCCTAAATGCGAGCCTTGAGGAACACCTGATGACACCAAGATTTGAGAAGAGGTTAAGTTGTCAATATGAACTATCTGTGTCCTTCCTGTAATATAGCTTCCCACCCATTGAAGCAGAAAGCCAGAGATGCCAAGTGTCAAATCAATGTATATAGTATGTACCTCTTCACCCCCCTCCAAAGCGCCTGTCAGAAAGTCAGAGTATATGAGAAGATTAATTTCCGTTGATGACCTGTTTTTGAAGCCAAACTGATCGGATATAATTTCGCTGCTTAAAGATGATGATACAAATTTTGTGAAAATATTCTCAAAGATTTTAGGAATTGCACTGATGATGCAAATTGGGCGATAATTAGTCACATCTGATAAGTCACCGGATTTACGAATCGGCACTACATAACTGGCCCTACAATACTCAGGGAGGAAGCCGTCCCTCAGAGACTTGTTGTAAATTATATGCAAGAGTCTGGACAAAACAAAACAGGTCCCTTGTTTGGGTCGATGTTATTTAGCTCCATGTAGATGTCAGAGATAGGAATAGTGTAATCAAATAAATTGTGAGGAGATCGAGAAAGCTGATCTGGGAAATCCAATACTTGATAGGTATAGACTGAGTCAAATTATTCGGCAATTTAATGGGTACCCATAGCTGCCGACTCACCATTATGTCTAAAACTTGAAGGAGGCTTACTCGAGTTTTGTATAGAACTGGTATAGGACCAGAACTGTTTTGGGCTATGCTGCAATGCCGATTCAGTTTCATTTAGGTATTCACGAAAATTCTCCCTAGAGAGCAAATTGCACTGTGAGCGCAAGTCAGAAAATGCCAGATAATCCGAAGGGAGGCGACTTTGTTTATATTTTTTGTGTAAGATTTTCTTCTGTATGAGTGCCTCCAAATCCTATGAGAACCATTTGGGAAAGAAAATAGTTTATGTCGTTGAAGCTTTGAAGTCATAATAGTATCCATATTCCTGTGGATTTGAATTGCAGTGATTCTGTTGCAGTGTGGCTTGAAACAACAGGGGTGGATGGTTATTATTCAACAGAAGCAGGGAATCATCTTCATCTGGCACAAGATCAAAAATCCAGATGGTTGCATGATTACAAAAAAAAAAAAAAAAAAACGAGAAATTATAGAACCTATCAAAACATTCTATAAAACGACCAACTTCTAACGATGAGTTTTTGTGGAAAAATTTATAGAATCTCAAATGCTCATAATAGCTATCCTACAATGTTCTTTGATAAATTGTTGTCACACCTTCAGATTCTGTCGAACGACTTTTCTGATTTTCCAAAGTTATACTTTCTCATTGAAACTGAAACTCTTTGGAAATGTTCACTAAGTTTCATTTAAAAGTGCACGAGGAGTAGACACTGGAAAAGTTGAAGAAGATTTCCTTCTAGTTTTGATATTTCATAAAAGTGAATTTTTAAATTGTGAAAAATAGGTACTGTTTCTCGTATTTGATAATGCCTATTCATATTTTGTTTTTCAGTTCTGACGAAGCATTGAAATACAAGCAAAACTACCTAGTGAGCTGTTTTGTTCTATTGACATTAATTTTGATTTGTAATTATTACTAATAAGAAAAAAAAATATTTATTTGATCAACCTGAATTAGAAATAAACATTTATGACGAAACCTGCAGATTACTCGGGATTACTCATTATTAAATTCGCAGTATAAGTATGAAACGCATACGATGGATACAAACATTGAACCGTCATTATTTCTGCTAGAAATTACTAATTATTGCAATTATCTTCCGTCATAAATTAAGATAACGTGAAACCGTTATAAAATGATAATAATGTAATAATTATCAAAATGGGAAAAAAATGCCACAGTATTTTAACGTTTTAGCAGGCTAAAAATAGCCTGTATGTAGTTCGTTTAAATATTTATTTATTTTGTGTTGTAATCTTTTATATTGTATTATTTCTGTCTGTTGTACGTGTGAGGTGGAAACGTTTTAATGAGGCTTTTTCCAATAAAGAACAGTTTTTCTAATTTAAACTATTTATAAATGAGTGCTCGACATATAAGTACATTGCAACCAAACTACCCTAATAAATTTGGGTTAGCTTCATTTCAACCGAAACATTTTTTTTTTGGAATACATATTACTAATTCTAAATTATCATTTTTTGTATTTTGGCCCTTTGTGTTTTCTTTTCAGATATGATTTCAAGTGAAGCTGCTTGACCAAAAATCTTGTATGTACCTCAGTTCAAGAATTACTAAATGTTGGTCATTCTAAGACGATAATTAGGGGGGAAAATATTGAAAAGTATGTTTCAGGGATGTAACAAAGGGATGGGAAGAAAGTGTCAGTTGCCTACCTCTTCTTAATTATTTAAAATGTTGGAAATATGTATACATTTGTTTTGTGGCACCCTGAAAGCTAAATTATTCCTAAAACCTGTGACACTGTAGGCGTGAATCAAATAAAAAAATATTTTCCTACGAGCGTGCGCAAAGTATTACTTTTCCGCACGCATTTCGGTACTCAAAGTTACACTTTTCCGCACTCAGTGCGGATACAGGCCTTATCCGCACTGAGTGCCGAAAAGTAAAAATAATTGTCAAGCAACAATAAGTGCACCTGTCGACTTTGACACATGATGGCAAATTTTTCCTCTGTTTCTATATCAACCAACATCTATACAAACACCAAATTTAATTAACTTGGACACATTTTCAGATTTTGTTCTCTATTTATATGCAAGAATCTACAAACTTTCTCATCAAATTAAAACGCTTTAAGATGAATAGCTCTGACGAGGATTTTCTGTTATATTTTTTTTGTTATGTAATTTTTTTTATAAATGCATAGATTCGCTTCAAGCTTCAAGTTAATTCAAAATAATTGAACAAATTATTGTTTTTTTTTTTAAATTTTTGTTGTTACCTACCTGATATGAAGTTCGTAGGAAAAATTTTGTTCCTAACACGTGCGCAAAGTGTCTTTTCCGCACGCAAACACTTATCCGAACTCCGCTTCGCGTCGTTCGTATAACTGTGTTTGCGTGCGGAAAAGTAACACTTTGCGCACTTGTTAGGAAAATAACTATTTCAATCGAAATTTCATAAACTTATAATATTTTTGATGGGGCGATTCTTTTTTTCACACAGTAGTTAAGCCCCGTTTCAAAAATCCCTAGATTCATTACTATCTCGTATGATATAGGTATAGTAGCAAATATTATGAAAAATTTACAAAAATTTGGAAAAGAATACTAAGTTAGGTAACATTTTTCCAGAAATCATTGAAATTTTAGAAATAAATGAGTTTTAGTATAATTCGTTTAAATCATACTGATTCTGATCCAGCACACGATTGGTAGGTACCTACCTATATCCAGTAAGAATGATATTATGTAGGTACTTGCAAAAAAAATTACGGGTTTGAGCAATTTTTTGAAAAAAATTGGATTTTATGACTATGGAATTGATATTCAATTTGAAAAGCTCACTGTGTTGTTGGTATTTGGGAGTTCTGTTTGATTTGCAAAAAATTTCAAATTTAGAATACTTTTCATGGGATTTATAAGTACGTAGATATTTATTTGGCTTTAGGGATGAGTTGGGTACCGACTGCATATTTGAAAAAAAAGACAAACATTTTTTAGTGGAAATCTGGAATAGTGTGAAACTGTAATTCAATCTACTATGCATTTTTTATTAAAAAAAAATATATTGTTTTCAATATGTAAGTATAAAACAAAAAGGCAATCTTTGAAAAAAAATTAAGAAAAAACCAAGTGAAAAAACTTTTTTTTAAAAAATCCAATAGTTACTAAAATTAATAAATTAATAAATTAATTTCTTACTTTGGCACCAACTTGGTTTCCACATTGGCCGGCTTGTAAGTGCACAATTTCCCTCATGATGAAGCTTTTTTTCGGCGAAAGCTAAACTTAAAAACTGCTGACTGTCTTTGCTGCTGGCTAAGCTCGATGGCTGCTGGAAGTGAACTGTCGCCGTCGCTGAAAGCGTCGCCTGGAGCGAATCGTCGTCGTAGCCGCGAGTTCTTGCTTGATGACTAGTCTTCGTCAGAGGATTTCCCTCCGGCGTTGCCGGCCCGACGTCGAATTCAGTATTGTTTTGTATATTTTGTTAATAATAATCATTTTTATAAGAAGCCGTGTGCCAAAAATCGCTAGAGATGTTTCGAGAATAGGATAATAATTGAAAGGAGGGAGAGATCAAACAATTTTCCCCCAAGTTATTCTCATCATTCCAGTTCATAGAAAGCACTAGTACCTACAGTCCTTGGACATTTAATTTGTGAATGCCCTACTCCCTTCTGCAAGAGGCTAAAATACCTTGAAGGGGTACGGCTAACAACCCAAATACCACTCAGGAAGTTGGCCCCCAGTTTGGGAGAAGCCTACAAATCTTGGACACCAACGAGAAGCAGGTGAGTCACGTACAAAATATCTGGAAATGTAACAGTGCTTGCTTAAGTACTTAAGTGGCTAAATCGGGCTGTAACGACTATTAATGCAATTTACAGTCTACAAGCGCACCCCTTATATCAGCTTATAGAACATGAGACTGAAGGTTTTTCTCTTCTTCTTTGCCAACCTCTATCCATCTACTTCTTAGATTCAGAGACGTCTCTCCTTCTCCTAATTGTTGCCATCTTTCTTCATCCTCCGCCAATCTGATCCACTGTTTGCCTGCCACTGTTCTTATGTCGTCGACCCTTTTTTTTAGGTCTTCTTATGCTTCTTGTCTCCCTTGGTCTCCAAGTCTCCATTTCACGATTCTTTGTGTCGAACTGTCGTCATCGTATCTGGCTATGTGGCCAACCCATCGCTATATGAATGTCCCTGACTTTCGTTTTGCGTCTTATCTTGGTTTTTAATTTTTTCTCTTGTAGTGATATTCCAAGCACGTTTCTTTCCATCGCTCTTTGGGTGGTTTCTTATTTTTCAGGGGCTTTGTCTGTGGTGAGGGACATGTCTCTCATCAGTGGAACAGGGGGGGGGGGGGGGGGGTCAAGAAGATGAAAGAATTGGGAATGGGAATTAGAGATAATATACATTTTTCCGCACTTGTATACTAGAAATTCTTATAAAATTACTATTTATTGCATTGGACAGAAAAATCCTATCTTCAAATTCTTCTATTATAGATAGAAAGCTGAAATTCCCCCTCCCCTTGGACTTGAATTTTTGAAAACTTAATTTTTTTATCATAGACAGAAAGCTCAATTTTCCGCTAATATTATCCTAGTATAGAGGACTACAATCTCTAAGAAAAAGCTCATTTGAACTTATAATTATTGAAATAAAATCGCGTTAAGGAATGTAGAGTGAATTTTTGGATTTTTTCCAACCTACATCCTGACGTCCTTTTTTCATAGATTTCGGCTTCAAATTCCACGATAAATCACTGTATGTACTGCTTCTGGGATCCGAACTCATCGTTCAACGTTGAAATCTTCTCATAAAAAAAAATGAAATTTGACCATTTTGGAAAGAAAACCACGAGGGGGCGAATTTTATGTACACGCAAATTACATTTTTTGGAATATTTCGCACTTTTGTTAAGAGTCTCAAGCTACATGGGGTAGTTAAGAGAGAAAAGAGTAAAGGGAGAGATATGACTATTGAAGGTGACCTAAAGAAGAAATTGGACTTATAGGAGAGCTCCGACTAGCCCACAAAATTCCGGTGAGTGGGGTGGGTCTAAATAAAGACGCCACCTGTTTTCAACCCTGCAGTAAGTCGGTTTCTGAACGAAAGATATTTCAAAACAGGAAACAGCCTATATAGCATACAAAAAATCAAATCAACACCAAAGAAAGGAAGGTTTAAAAGCGATCATTTTCAACTGAAATCCCCTAGGAATGGAGAACTCGTGATCGTACCGCAATCTGAAAAGAACTGAAAAATTCTAAATGTCAAAAATCAGCTGTGAAGGGAAAATAAAAGAAAATCACTGATGCTGGGTTCCGTTGCCAACCTTGGTTAAGGTTACACATTCCGTAATGTCTGGTTCCTGAGAAACCGGTCTACACTAGGGTGACCATATTTTTTTTGTATGAATGCTGTACACATCCAAAATTTTGGGACAGGTGAGTGGAGAGAGCACTGAATGCAAATTTTGTCGACTTTAAAGCCCATTTTAGTACCATTCAACACAAAAAAAAAATGAAAGACATAACATAATAAGTCTGTTCTGTGAATTTCATTGGTTGAAAACGTTATGGCCGTTTGCACCGACCCTTTTAAGGAAGCCTTAGCGATAAGTATCCCTTAAATTTACATTTCTCTATGCAAAAATGTCATTTTAAGGAACACTTAACGCTAAGGCTTCCTTAAAATGGTCGGTGCAAACAACCTTGGTTGAAACCAAGGTTGTTTGAAAGAGGTAAGTTAGCTGATAACTTTTATGCCGTCATTTGGATGCCTAAACGTAATGCAAATCTCCATTATAACTTCCTGATGACTTCATCTGTTTCCTATTACCGCAGACAACCTATTAACTAAAGGGAAATTAATGAAACAGTGTATGTGGGGGATCAAAATTTCTGACGTTGGCATGTCGCAATGTTGCCGCATCAACTTCGTTTTACTTTGACATACCATAAAGTTTGTCATTTTCCCAGGTTACATTTTTATTAATAAATTGATAAGAATAATTATAATACCAAAAAACGAAATTCCAAATAAATTATATCCCAACTATCAATCCCTGACTCGTTAGAAACTGACAACAAACCTCAAAATGTTAAAATCAATAACCAAAGAATTACCTACGAGTGCCAACCTAAATCCCATTTTATCGGCAGATTCGGTTATATGATCCGACACGATTTTGTCTCTTTTTAACTAGGGTTAAAAAAGAAGAGAACGTGCGCTCTGAGCTTAAAACGAATTTTAATTTCTTACAAACTGCAATTGGCAATAATTTCGATTGATGACCTGCAATCATTATTTTAATAATTCCACTATAGGAACCTTGGGTTGAAACTAGTTTTCTGACTGTTTCTGATTTTCTGACTATTTTCAACCAATAAAATTCGCGCTGACTGGTTTGTGATTGCTGTAGAAACAGGGGGCGGATTACGAACTCTCGATTCGAACCGAAACCGCCATGAATTTTGAACGCACTCCATGCAAATGCATCAGAATGCGTTCGTAATCCATGGCGGTTTCGGATCGAATCGAGAGTTCGTAATCCGCCCCCAGATCTATTATGCTGTGTCTTCTTCTTAGCAGCGTGGAATAGAGAGAGATAAAAAAGGTAGTTAGCATTAAAAAGAATAATACTCTGATGGGAGATGATGGCGTAGGAGTAAGGGTGGATTTTCATGCATCCGTTTTTCCGATGAAAGATGTCCGAAAAACATTCTATAGAAGATTTCATTATGAATGACTTTGGCAGAAAGTCGACAAACAAAGTCGCATAACCTATAAATAGCAATGTCAATGTTATTAATTTTTTTTTTCAATTTTGGGCTTAAATTTAATAATTATGGCAGTTTTGGGAGAACGTGATATGTTTTATCGAGAGGCGATGAAGCGATGTGTGTTTGGTGATTGTAAAAGTGATAGTCGAACGAGTTCCATTAAATTAACGACCCCATTTGCCTCCACTGGAATTTAAGGTAACACAGCATCTTGTCAAATCTACGCTTTCGTAAGTATTCGGTGCATTCGCTATGGCTGATTTGGTTGCAAAACGTTTGATAAAATTAACAGAAAGTGATGTGAAGCTACATCCTCAATCAATCTGGTAGCGAAGTCATAGATAAGGGATACAAAACTCTCTCGAACCTATAATATAGATAGGCAACTCAATACAAACATTTTGTTCCTGATTACAGCGCCCTCTCGCGTGTGTAGTCAGCAACTTGAGAGCGCGGGAAGCACTCCTTTTTAAATTTAATTTTTTTTTTCTTTAGGATCCGTTTATCATTTTTTATTGCCACTAGCACTGATCAATTTAATATGTTTCTAGTGGAAATAAAATTATGATAAACAGTCTCTTGATCACATACCGAAGAGTTACATACTAATTAATCCATGTATTAAATACAAAAATAACAATTTTGAATTACTTTATTAACTACAGTATAATATCAATCTAATCAATGATAGGTACCTACAATGAATAAGATTTTTTGATTGTAAACGTTTTGCAGGCATAAAATGAACACCTAAAAAGAAAGAAATAAGTTACAGTGGTAAAATTACAGGAGATAAAATCCCGATTTTGGTATAATGTAGGGATTGAAACATACCTGTTCATCATTTTTCGGAATTTGATGAATTTTTACTCTGTTCCCTCGGCTTTCACACATTTCCACACAACAAGATAAAACCATTTTGCTTTGAACGGAGAAAATTTTCAATCTCTGATTCAAATTATTGAATAAAAATGGAATGTGTCAAAATTTGTCAAAATATAATGAAAAAGTAAAAGTCAGAAAAGTGAAGCGATGCTGCTACATGTCAAAAGCATGGGATATTGGTTTTGAAAAAGAAATGTAATTTCAAATCGTACTACTAACAATTATATGTTAGCGAGGTACACGACTTTTTTTTTCCTATCGTTGGAAGCTTTTTAAAACAAATAAAGAATAATCTGGAGTTTTTATGTATAAATCTGACAACAGCATTGGACGACAGCGCCTCTGCCGTCTGTAGTCGCAAGCTTTTAGCGGAACAAATTACGCCATAAGAGTTGCACATGCATGAGCGAAGTGACACTTTGGCACGCGTGCTGGAAAATTTATACCCATCCTCAATGCTGTCAATTTTCAGTCTGCTGTGCGTGTAGTATGGTCACATACCGTGCATTCGGTATTTTGATCTGAGTTCTCTGTGCATGAATTTACCGTTCGTTTATTCAAAAAGTATACTCGGTGCAGGCTCATTCACGTTCGTTTAATAAAATTTCAAGCCCTCTGATACAGCGTTTAACTGCTCTGTGCGCTCGCTGGTCACGTGATTACGGCTCCGCTCTGCTCTTTGAGCAAAATACCGAACGCAAG